GCCTCAGGCTTGCACAGTATCGTCAACTCAATCAGAATCTTCGGTAATCCTCGGCAAACTTCGCCACGGCTCATTCGGTTCTTGTTGAATCCTCTGCAAACTTCGACAGTTGGTTGAACCGGCTCAATCGGTTCTTTTCGAGTTGGACGTGGTACTTCGGGCTGTGCGTTCTGCGTCATCAACCCGGAACTAAAGTTCGATTCAGTTCGATTTGTGAACCGGCTCGACCGGTTACTTCCTGAGAACCGGCTCAAAAGAACGATTCGTTCAAGAACCTAACATCACTATCATATATTAGACATATTCATATATTTAATTTATTCGTAATCATTCTTCTGCTGTACTTCAAAGTGTCTGAAGTAATTCCACCTGTTTAGATTCAGACTGTCTGTTTTTTAACGGCTTTTCAAGTTTGTCACCTTCCAGATTAAACTCTTTGTGTTAACTTCTTTCCCTGCCGAAAGAACAGCTTAAACAAGCCTAAGCTTAGCTAGTCTCCCAGGTCAGTCAGGTTGGTGTAGTTTGCTGCTTTTAGAGAAATTTTGGAGACCAGCAAACTAGCCTAGGCTTTTTCTCCTTCCAGCTGGGATGGTGGTACACATGATTTAAACATCTGATAGCTTTCCTAAGTAACTAGGCTGCCCTTATTTGACTATCATTCTCAAACTTGGGTCTCTATGCTATTTAAATGAAAACGGTTTTTGTAACACATATACTGTTTTGTTAGACTGAGATGCAAATGCTTTGCTTAGGGCCACAAAAAAGCGTTACAATACCAAAATTGAATTTAGGCATAAGTTAATGTTTAATATTTGCATTAGCAAAGAGGCAACAAAAGATTTTCCATTACAATGAGTCTTTTCCTGTTTATTGACTTTTCCATTAGACAGGTGGTGTGCCTCTTATGCAGTAAATGATTAATACCAATGGAAATTACACATTAGACAGTATACAGAAGTCTCCAAGTGTCTTTTGTAATTAATACTCAGTATAAATGATTAACCTCACAAAAAAACTTGTATCTTAGTTGAAATATATTAAAATTTATTGTAGTGCTTAAGCCACTTAAGTGTAAAGCAGCTTTTTGTCAGTGCTTGAAGGTTTCCCCTTGAGGTGCATTAAGGAAAGATTACATTGGAAGTTTACCATGCAGCTTTAATAGAAAATCCTGTGTAAAAAAGACAGATTTGCAAACTTAATTTTCCCATTTTGTCCATTTTTTCTGTTCAAAAATTATACGTTTAAAGTTATTAATTCTGCTTTATAACATAGGCCTATGGAAATTTCAAATAAATCAATTTGCATTTGCAAAACAATACACTTAAATAAAGTAAAATCTAAAAACTCTAAAAGGATGATTCTGACTAGTGTTTTTGCATCACACCACTACTAGCATTCATACAGTTTAGCATGAGATGAAGTCTGTTTTGTAGAACAGGGATGTATTTGTGCCCATCCTAAAACAGGCCCTTTTCTTTCTTCAGGCTCAGCTGCTTCCAGGATGGCAGAGCATAGAAATCTACCCGAGAAATCCCCATGATCAGGTTAAAGTCGTTGTTTGAGAGATAGTCCTGCATAGATGATAGAGGTGTGTGTTAGCCTAGTTTTATCAATCGATAAATGTCACAAAAACATGTTCAGGTAACATTTGACCCCAAAAAGGAAATGAATGTGTGCTATTAAGATTTTTTAAATTGTGATATTACTATGTATGTAAGATTACACAAATATAAATGATATAAATATATATATTTTAGCCAGTATAAATAAATTCTCTCTCTCTCTCTCTCTCCTCAGAGAGTTCTTTGCCATGAGGTGCCATGTTGAACTTCCAGTGACCAGTATGAGAGAGTGAGAGCGATAACACCAAATTGAACACACCTGCTCCCCATTCACACCTGAGACCTTGTAACACTGAGTCACATGACACCGGGGAGAGAAAATGGCTAATTTGGCCCAATTTGGACATTTTCACTTAGGGGTTTACTCACTTTTGTGGCCAGCGGTTTAGATATTAATGGCTGTGTGTTGAGTTATTTTGAGGGGACAGCAAATTTACACTGTTATACAAGCTGTACACTCACTACTTTACATTGTAGCAAAGTGTGATTTCTTCAGTGTTGTCACATGAAAAGATATAATAAAATATTTACAAAAATGTGAGCGGTGTACTCACTTCTGTGAGATACTGTATATATATATATAGGTTTTGTGATTCTCCAAAAAGAAAATATTATATTTATAGTGTTTATTTAGTAATTTAGTTTGAAATAAAATGTTACAAATTTAATTGTTTTGAGGAATGTTTCATGGCATTTTAGCATTGTGTATGTTAGATTTGTGTAAGAAAGATGTCTGTAGATCAAAAGTTTACCTCTTTTCTTGTGGGGTCGACTCCATCAGGCAGGTCTTCTGTCTGCATGTTCACCAGCTTCTCTGGTGGGAAGGATTGCGTGACAGGACGGGGTAAGTTACCCCCTTGAGTTGAGCTACTTGAGTTGGTTTGGTTTGAGGTTGGCTGGGTGAGATCCTGTGTACAAGATGTTAAGCCATTTTCACTTTCACTTGTTATTGTACATTTATGCATTTAGAAGGTGCTTTTTGCCAAAAAACGTAAAGAGCATTCAATTTATACTTTACATTTTCTCAGTTCATTCATTCCCTAAGTAACTGAACCCATGACCTTGACATTGCTAGTGAAATGCTACCATTTGAAGAATGAATAACCTACCACAGTAATTTTGATGAGATCAGTTGCATCTCCAAGCTCTGCTTTAAGCTGGTCGTAGGATTTCCCACCCTAAAAGAGAATTTAAAAAATATTCATAGCCTGTGACGTAAGCTTGTGAAGTAAGTTGTCATGCTGAAAGAAGGTAAACCCATGTCATTAACTTACACTCCACTTTTGTGGATCCCAGGCGTGGAACCAGCCTGTAAAAGTGGGTGGCTCAAACCCTTGCTTTACCACTAGGATAGGCGTATCCAGGTCACGCCCTGCAGGATGGGACTTCAGATATTCCTGTGCTGTAACCACTGCTTCATGCTTCTCCTTGTCATTGGCACCTTTGCCGATCCACAGGTGCACCTGACAGAACATATTTGTGCTGTGATTTCTAGTGGTCCAGAAAGAATATGAACAACTGTGATGAGAGAAAACCACCCCGACATTCACCTGATCCCAGATGTCCAGCAACATCACGTCATCCTCATCCAGGTCATCTTGGTTAAAGTTTGTAATCTCTGTCGCTATAAAGCGACCCGTCTGGTTGGAGCACTCAAACAACCGGGGTGTGATACTGGAGTTCTCATCCTGAAGTCTGAGAATAGAAGAAATGTATAGGCTATAGTATAGTCCTAAAACTTGTGAACTGTCTATGTAGACAGGATTGCAAATATCCTTTGCAAAGAAAGCAGTGCCAAAATGCATCCCCCAATGCAAAACCCTATTGAAATCAATTGTCTATATCACTCTCCTGTGTTCTTCAGTTGAGGAGCGCTATAGAGTGCAACAGTGACCGCCCACTTTTTCCGTGGTGTTGATTCCAGAAGCATTTTTTTCCATTCACTTTTCCCATAGGTATTTTTTTTTAAAAGTCTTTAAAAATAGATAGTTCACCCAAAAATGAACATTGTTCCAAAAATTGTTCCAAACCTGTAAGAGTTTATTTTTATCTCCTTTTGTCTTGGATGAACTATCCCTTTAAAGCACTATAAGCCATGAACCAAACCAACAAGATATGAGGTAAATTACAACATCACAACCTTTTATTTTAAGCAAAAAGTGCTTGTTTAAGCAAAGTACTTGTAAAAAGTACAGACAAAAAGACAAAGGAACAAGATGGTTAACAGTTTTAATGATATATTGAAACGAAGGAGAAATATACAATTAATTATTTGAAGTTGTTTATGTATATTATATTATTATTAATAATTATATATTATATTATCAATTAACAACCTCAGAGCTCACAGGTCTTAGGTTTATAAGTTATCGTTAAAAATTTCCTTATGGAGAAAATTAATTGAATTTTTACTTCCAGAACATGACTGTTGCGCTATATTTGTATGATTCATTATTTACAGTATTTACATCATTTCAAAATATTTATGAGGTACTATTTGAGTTAGGATGCGCCCTTAGAATATAGCTGCCCTATGTAGACAACAAGGCAGCTCAACAGGTTTTTCTTTTAGAATGGTTTTTTTTTTTACTGTACAATGTGCAAGTTTTACTGTACCTTTTGCTGCTGGCATACTGAGACTTTCCACCAAGGTTTACCCAGAAGTCAGCTGGTTCCTGACCCTCTGCAATAACATGCTTCTCCCTCTTGGAGATGATGTCAGCCAGCGTTTTGGCCATCTCTCTCTCATCTCCACTGCAGCCCTGCACAGTAATATTTAATGCAAGTATTTAGAACAGACAGGTAAGAAATATGCAGAAACATCATCTGAAATATGCCAGATATTGTCAGCATTTGAAATACCAACCTTGCCATACCACAGGTAGCAGCTCTTATCTGTGCTGAGCACAAACACATCGTTGGAGTTCAGAGAAGATGAGCGCGGAGGCACCTCAGTGGCACGTGTGTTGAACTCATTCGTTCCATGAATGTGAAACAGTCTTACTGATGGCTGAGAATGGGAGGAGCCTTCTCTGGAACTTCCTTCCTGTTATTCAATCACATGCAGTCACAAAAACAAAGAAGATGGATGTATGCACTACAAGGCTTAAAGGTAAAGTGTGTCACTTCCGCACTACTAGCGGCACCGTACAGAATTGTTTCCAAAACACTCCTACTGCCTCTTATCTTACAGTCCCACCTAAATTGTTTTCAAGGCGCCACACATTTCACGCTTTTCTTGCCAGGCTATGAGTAGCTAACTTTAATTGTCCTTGCAAATTAAACTTGGATAGATGAAGGTATGTTTATAGCAAAACAATCTTTTAGCTTGTTACTGAAGCAGTACCCTCAAAAGTACACCTTTGTATCTTAACTACCCTTAAAATGTGCATATTAGTATTTTAAGGTACTAATATGCACCCTCCTAATAAGCTCCCTTTATGAAGTGACTGGGGACAAAGTTGTACCTTTGAAGGTACTGCCCCAGTGGCAAGCTGTTGCACTTTTTTCTGGTAGTTTTTTTTTTTTTAAACAGGAAGTGTTTTCGGTTTCCGTTGTTATAACAGAAGACATGGCCAAATGATGCTTATAGAGAAAGGAACAGGCTGACAAACTTACCTCATAAATAACCATTTTGCCCTTGAAAATGGCCATTAGGTGCATAGGCTCCTTTCCCATGGGAACACGGACCTGCACCGGTTCCCCGTTGTACTTCTGGTCCAGGATCACAGCCTGATATGCAGAGGCTGTCAGCTCTGCTGTTCTTGCATGGCGGCCCTAAAATTCCATCAGTATTCAGAATTGAACTGAGAGTGCCTTTTAAATTGCAGTTACTTTGAATTGAATTTAAACTGTAGGATGCAGAGTTCCAAATTGAATGTAAGAAAGTGGAATTAAAAATGAATTGAAATTCAAAGAAATTCATATTGTATAATTGTAATTTTTAACTATAAAAGCAATGTGAAGACTGCAGTAATGGCTGCTGAAAATTCAGCTTTGAAATCAGAAATTAATTGCATTTTAAAATATATTAAAATAGAAAACCATATTTTTAAACCAGTTTTTACTGTATTTTTTTTACTGTATTATTGATCAAATAAATGCAGCCTTGGTGAGCAAGACATCTTTCAAAAACATTAAAAGAATCTATATATTTGTATAGGATTAAATTACAATGTACAATGATTAAATGATGACGGAAGAGACACTTACTTGCCACATGTACAGAATGTAGTGTAGTTTGCGGTTGACTTCATATTTGTAGAGAATGAGGTAACAGTCCCCACCGTAGAAGTGGCCGAGCCACTTCCTCTCCACAGGGACAAGCTCATTGTCCTCTATCCTCCATACCTGAGGGATGAACACACTCATGTAATGAGGTCTTTTTCACTGAAATGAATGAAAGGCAATTGTCATTTCATCAAAGGTCATTTCACTGACCTCAGCTTCGCCCGACCCATCATCCACCATTTTCTGCTGTGCAGCCAAGTCAGGTCTGGCATGCATTGAGGTGGCGTCAAACTTAACTTGCTCAACCTTGGCTACAGAAAGCAGAAATTATAACATAGTAGAGTCAGAATCATGGGTTTCTAAGGGGGCATTTATACAGAATGCATTCTTGTGTTTTGTCTATGCTGTTTTTTTTTATTGTTGCCCTGTGTACAGAGCAACGGATGTCAGTTTTTTTTATTTGAATTTCACCACAGCCGTTTTTAACACAAGAACACATCCTGTATGAACGCTGCCTTATTATTATTATAGATGATCTTTTGCATTGTATTTCAGCAGCGTTGGGAAGATGCCAACTAAAATAACGACGCAACTAACATTTTTCAGTAGTGTGAGAAGATTAACAAAAATGTTTTTGTTTTTTAGATTTTCTGTTCTAATATTAAAGTATTAGTCATTTGTGTTTGTCTTTTTTATTTATTTTTTAGTTTTAGTGTTATTTTAGTAATGTTGCTTTGGCAACAAGCTGAAATAAAGTGATTTTGTCATTATTATTATTAATTTAAAATTATTATTTATTATTTTTATTATTATTTTATGTTATTTTAATTAAGCTTTATTTTAATTTGAGTTTATTTCAAGTAACAAAAATGTTTATTTAACTATAACTACTTTTCGCAAAAAAATAAAAAATACATAGCAGTATTGTGTATGCAGTGTAAGAGATCAGTAATCAAATGCTTTCTTTTTCTTCTTGTCCTCTCTCATATATTGCACTCAAAAGACTGAATGACTGACTAATCTAGTGAACCATTTTGTTCGGAAGGTTCATGTAAAGGAAATGATTCAAGAAGTGATTCACTGATTCGAATCCTTGCATGGCATTTTTAGGCTGCCACTGCCACTGTTCATGACTGTGTTTTCAATTATATGAATTTGGATGTATTCTCTTTTTTTCCATCTCCCGGACTCTTGTTTTTATAAGTGCTTTCTTTACATTAGTAAACCATGTTCACCTATTTTTCCTGGACTGTGAGTGGAGCCCAATCCAGCTGTCTGTCCCTTGTCTGTCCACTTCTGAAAGAGTTGCTTGAACACTGATGATTCTGCTCCTTCGCTTACTGTCTCTACATAGGTGGATGCAGGATATCCTTTTGCCTTTATGTAGGCCTAGAACAATAAAGCATGAAGTGAGATGATGAAGTGTTTCTTTAGCAAGAATTTGATATGTGATTACATTTACATTTGGTGCAATATACTATGCTGAGTTTAGAAATATTGGGCATTATTCAGTGATAATTGTATACAAATGTATGCTTATGTTGCAGAAATAGCTCTGATGCTATTTTTTGGAAATCTAGAATCTATGCCAGATCATTTTTGCCCTCCGAAATAGTAACTTAAAGACTTGACTTTTAAGGCCTTGCATGATCAATTATTTGATAATGAGTTGTGATTTCATTCACACGGGTTTTACTCACAAATACTTGCAAATACGCAGTTGGTGAATGAGGCCCCTTGTGAAAAGCACACTTTGATGAGAGCTTCATTGGTGTAAGACTCACCTCTGCTTTCTTCAGAGATTCTGCTCTCTCAGTTTTTGATGCCTTTTTGCCCTTCCAGATAAAGATCTTTATTCCGCCTTGATCCAGCAGATAGCAGTCCTGTCACAGGAATCAGATGTCAATTGACATATTTTCCGCTTTTAAAGTGGCTGTTTTAGTTTCCCTTCTTTTATTCAGCTAAGTAATGTTTGTGCAGAAGTAGTGAGTTCTTTTATAGACACTGTCTTTTTGTTTTTGAGAGTGTTTATAATTTTCAAGACAAGATTTTGATTTATTTTAAATGTATGTTCTTGGTCTTGGTGCACAATTCATTGACAGTTCATGGATGCATGTTATAAATTTTTTTCATTAACTTTAATCAAAATATATCTGAAACAACTTTCTTTTATAGTTAAAGTCACAAAGTTCTCTTTCTTGTCAGCCTATTTCCTCCAACTATTCAGCTCCATACTTTAATTTAGCTTTCACTTTTCACAATCCAATCAATTTCCTATTTAATTCATTTCTCTCATCGAACTTCCTTTTTGAAGTTATGTTCAACTACAGAAGCAGTTTGCCAACAGCATTTCATGAAGTCTTTGACTTTTTTTTTATACAATATTCTGTCATATTTGCATCACAACTGCATAACCAGATCAAATTGTGTCGTGAGCACGACTGTGTTCCTTATAGTTCTGTCTTATCTTAACAGGCATCCACTATGTAGTCGCACATTATGCTGATGCTGACTTCCCCTTATCATCTGCTAACTATTTTATGAGCCTAACTATACCTCCTTCGCTTGCTGGCTCTAGATAGGGGGATGCGGGATATCCTTTTGCCTTTATGTAGGCCTAGAACAATAAAGCATGAAGTGAGATGATGAAGTGTTTCTTTAGCAAGAATTTGATATGTGATTACATTTACATTTGGTGCAATATACTATGCTGAGTTTAGAAATATTGGGCATTATTCAGTGATAATTGTATACAAATGTATGCTTATGTTGCAGAAATAGCTCTGATGCTATTTTTTGGAAATCTAGAATCTATGCCAGATCATTTTTGCCCTCCGAAATAGTAACTTAAAGACTTGACTTTTAAGGCCTTGCATGATCAATTATTTGATAATGAGTTGTGATTTCATTCACACGGGTTTTACTCACAAATACTTGCAAATACGCAGTTGGTGAATGAGGCCCCTTGTGAAAAGCACACTTTGATGAGAGCTTCATTGGTGTAAGACTCACCTCTGCTTTCTTCAGAGATTCTGCTCTCTCAGTTTTTGATGCCTTTTTGCCCTTCCAGATAAAGATCTTTATTCCGCCTTGATCCAGCAGATAGCAGTCCTGTCACAGGAATCAGATGTCAATTGACATATTTTCCGCTTTTAAAGTGGCTGTTTTAGTTTCCCTTCTTTTATTCAGCTAAGTAATGTTTGTGCAGAAGTAGTGAGTTCTTTTATAGACACTGTCTTTTTGTTTTTGAGAGTGTTTATAATTTTCAAGACAAGATTTTGATTTATTTTAAATGTATGTTCTTGGTCTTGGTGCACAATTCATTGACAGTTCATGGATGCATGTTATCAATTTTTTTCATTAACTTTAATCAAAATATATCTGAAACAACTTTCTTTTATAGTTAAAGTCACAAAGTTCTCTTTCTTGTCAGCCTATTTCCTCCAACTATTCAGCTCCATACTTTAATTTAGCTTTCACTTTTCACAATCCAATCAATTTCCTATTTAATTCATTTCTCTCATCGAACTTCCTTTTTGAAGTTATGTTCAACTACAGAAGCAGTTTGCCAACAGCATTTCATGAAGTCTTTGACTTTTTTTTTATACAATATTCTGTCATATTTGCATCACAACTGCATAACCAGATCAAATTGTGTCGTGAGCACGACTGTGTTCCTTATAGTTCTGTCTTATCTTAACAGGCATCCACTATGTAGTCGCACATTATGCTGATGCTGACTTCCCCTTATCATCTGCTAACTATTTTATGAGCCTAACTATACATCACGTGTCCCTCCCAGCTGTGAAATGCACTCAATGAAATGTACCTGTGACATAGGTGTAAGTGTGACATTTGACACTATATATATCATTGGGAACCTATGCTATCATCATGGCCTTTACACATAATTTGCTGTATGCTGCGGTGTTTAGTTTGGGTCAGCGGTCAGGGTTATTCATACCTCAGTTTTAAGTAGGTCTTGTGTGAGAGGTTTCACTGCCACTTCCTGCACTACAAGGTTACCCTGTGCATCTGAAATACTTTTCACACAAGATACTTGTTTTAGCTGGAGCACATAATTTTCAACACATGCTTTAATTTGTAGTTAAAACTATTACTCACTGAAAGAGTTTAATGGCAGTCTTGAGTTTCTCATCCACGATATTATCTGGGATGGCATCTCTGATGTGCTTTTTCTCCCCCAGTTCCTGAATCATCAATTTCATTGCTTCCTCTGAAGATTTCTCATCATCTGCTTCCACTACAGTCACTTGTGCTCGACCACCCCTCTCTCGATCACGAATGTCCTTTGCTAGGTTCATTCCCTATGAAAACAAAAGCTTGTAGTAAACTTACTGTGCAGACGTGGTAATATACACCCTTACCATCAAGAATGTGTTTATGTCTCTGAAAAGGGGTATTTTTGCATTTCAAATCAATTCTAATGGCTTACCCTTAACCTCTCCATTCGGTTACTCTTGGGTCCATTCCACTGAATGATCAGGCTCCCCAGGTCCAGCAGGAACACATCACCTTGATTAAAGCTGTTCCAGCTCATTTCCACCTGTGCACAGAGGGATTGAACCTCATTATTTACACTTTTTGTGGGAACATCAGCTTACAAATAGCTCCATATCCATATTAATCTGGGAAAAGACATATATCCCCAGTTTCACAGACAAGGCTTAAGCCTGGTCTCAGACTAAAATGCTTGTCTGGGCTGTTTTAACTGAAAGAAACTTGCAATGATATATCTTAAAATATGTCAGTGTTATTGATTTGTCTCAAGATGCTCATCAGTAATGTTTTTTTTTTTCTAAGGTATTTTTATAAAAGATACTTAAATGTCCTAATTGAACTGTGGCCTAATCCTGGCTTAACCTAAGCCCTGTCTGTGAAACCAGGCCATAGTCTTTAAAGATAAGACCATAGTTCACCCAAAAATTTAAATTCTGCCATCATTTACTCACCAAACCTGTACTCAACCTGTATGACTTTCTTTCTTCTGTTGAACATGGAATACGATATTTTGAAGAATGTGGATAACCAAACCGCTAAAGATTCCCATTGACTTTCATAGTAATTTTTTCCATGCTATGGAAGTCAGTGGGAACCAGCAACTGTTTGGCTGTCCACATTCTTCAAAATATCTTATTTTGTATTAAGCAGAAGAAATACATTCATACAGGTTTGGAACAACTTGAGGCTGAGTAAATGATGACTGAATTTACATTTTTGGGTGAACTATCCCTTTTATGCTTTAACTAACATCAAGTAACAATGAGCAGTTCATTTGTTTTAGTATTTATGTATCATTGTTAATGTGAATAAAAATACAACTACTCATTGTTAGCTCATATTAGCTAAGGTCCATTAAATAATATTAACAGATAAAACATTTTATTTTAATAATATATTATTAAATGTTACAATTAATATAAACTAACAATGAAAAAAACTTATAAAGCCTTTATTAATCTTAGTTAATGTCCACTAACGTAGTTAACTAATGTTAATAAATGGAACCTTATGTGTTACTTCTTTATAATATAAAATGATTTATGCAGTCATAATCACATCAGGCATTCAAAAACGTATATAATAGCAATTCATTATGTGCATGCATATTATATTAGTATTTATACAGATATTATTTTTAAATCATTTAGATATTATTAAAATTATAACTTTTTTGCTTATGGTATTCCTTTCTTTGTCAACTTGAAATGTGATTTAGATGTTTAAATAGCAAATAAATGCATGCATGCTTGCGGAGTAGCTTAAAATCTGTTTCAAATTAATATGGACTGGTGATTTTTAATCAGTCTTAATGTGGGAAGTTGGTTTTTGTGTTGTTGACACAGGAATAAAGGAATAGTAAAATGTCACAGGGGTTTTTACACCTCTGGACTTGTTGGAGTGGGTTTTAATTACTTTATTGTGGCTGGGGCTATTCTTACCTCTCCTGCGACCACATGCTTATTTCCCTTCACATGCAGCAGTCTGCGAATGTTGTACGTATTTGTCTCCACTTGTTTCATCCCAGATGCGACTCCACCTTTTTTGTATCTGGAATAAAAAGATTAACATTGTTATCAATTGTAACTCATGTTTACTCACTCAAAATGTAACACTTCTGGTAAAATGAAATGAAGAAGTCTGTCTTTGTAAACTTCCACATTTTTTACTCTTTGTGACTAAGAGAAGCATTATAAAGTCATATGCTTCTCACAGAATCTTAAAATAAAGAGGCTCAGTGGTGCGATTAATGCGGAAATTACGATTAAAGGAAAATATGTGCATTGTAAACACCCCTTGAAAATGTAGTTTATTCATAACATCAACTAAGAAAGGACTCCTGTCAACGTCAGGGTCATATTTTATCCCAAAAAGCAAAATATAAAAAATAAATTTTTTTTTTTTGGGAGGCATTTTGACAATTAGACAATTTTTCGTTACTGTATACATTATACATTCTCGTTACTGTAATGTAACATACATACTATTTAAATCGTAAACCTTTTAATGTATGCAGATTTAAACATAAAATGCTAATATCTTTAGTAATATGTTTTTATGCAAAATTTTGTTTAGTTTTATTTATTTATTAGCAAAGAATCCTAATGGTCCTAAAATATATGTGATAACATATGTGACCTTTACATGTTCTGGTTCATTTGGTTCATAGATTCATTCAAGGTAACCCTAAACATCAGTCAGGAGATGGCTTACATCAGGGATCCTCAAATCTGGCCCATGAGATCCACTTTCCTCCAGAGTTTCGCTCTAACCCTAATCAAACACACCTGAGTTTGCTAATCAATGTCTTCAGGATCATTAGAAAATAACAGGTAGGTGAGTTTGGTCAGGGTTGGAGCTAAACTCTGCAGCGCATTGGCCCTCCAGGGCAAGATTTGAGGAACCCTGGCTTACATGATGCCCTGTTTGAAGTATCCTTGGAAGGTGGCGCTCTCATGGCCCTGGGTTTCACGATGCTGCACAGCAACGCCCCCTAGGTGTTCATCCATCTGCGTGGTGTATATCGCTGCTGCTCCCTGCTCATCCTGGGAGGCGGCCTTGCCCAGCCAATAATGGAGGTCGTAGGTGTAGTTGTTGCTGGTCTTGTGAGTCTGAAAATGAAATGTTTTTCTTTAGCGGTTAGATTTTGTCAGCTTAAATGCACTTGAGTCGATTAGGGCACTAAGTGCTGATACTTACGTAGAGTATTACATAGCTGTCTCCTTCAAAAAACTGTCCATATGTTTTTGGTGGACAAGGCACGAGCTCCATGTTCTGACCAGTAATTTAAAAAGAAGACTGATTAGTGATTTGCTAAAGATGTCAGTGTCTCAGATGTTGAATGCACTGATTTGAAGTAAGTAGTATCATTCCTACTTACCTCCACTCTCCACATCTGAAGTCCTGGTGTGGTTTTATCAAGGACTTTGGGAACATCGGTCTTGACATCCTGTGGCATGGTGCCAGCTTACGTCTCAGAAAATACCTGGAAGAAAGAAAGGGGGAGGGTTGGATAGAAATGACTTGAGTTCAGTGATCCAGATTGTTTTCTTAGAATTACAAAGCACACATGTCCTGTGTATGAACTACTCAAAAATGTATTTGTGCATTTAATTTTACTTTCCAGTACACAACCACAAGCAAACAAATATTTTTATTGCTGTTTACGGACCCCGTTTTCTTCAAATCTACACTTTATCCTTCATCTGACCTCACCGTATAACAAAGAAAAATAGTAAAAGTTAAAGTTCCCAATAAAAAGAAAACAGTCATTATTTGCTCACCTTCATGTCATCCTAAACCTATAGGCAGTTATTTTTCTCTATACATGGCGTATTTGATATCGCAGTACATAAACATAGAATTAAATAGAAGATTTCTGGTTAATCATGACTTTTTTAAACTAATAATGAAATCTGTTCATCCCATGAAGCTATAATATGGCTTCTGAAGACTTGTGTTTTTGTTGTTTTTGGACTTTGAAAGCCATGGTCACTAAACTGTGCAGCATGAAACTGTGTGAACTGTTCCTTTAATATTGTTTAATGATTTCTTTCCTGATTGGCTTCTTTAGTGTTGTTTAAGTGCAAAAGAGGGTGCAGCCTAAATAAGAGTCAGTGCACTTCAGTTCATGCATTAGTAAACCCAGACACTAAAGCTAAAGTTTGAACGCTTATGGAAGAAAGAGAGTCAGCCGCCCCTGGGAAAGGAAGTAAAAGCCTCATGTCAAATATCCGTTGCAAATCTGTAGTAAAAATACTACGCCTCCATATCCAGAGCAGTTATCATTAAGTGTGTCTGAGATGTCAGGGCGTGATCAAGCCCCACAATCCTTCACTTTATCTACTGCACTGAGCACATAGTTCAAGCTGCAAATAAATGTTTGCTTAACCAGTATGTCTGTCTTATTTTCCATATAATCATCCTTAAAACATGACTAATTTACTTGAAAAGGAAAATCATGTAATGTTCCATTTCAGAGAATATGTTTTTTATTTATAAAGTTTCTTTTGATTATTCTCTTTAGTCCCTTTTAGACTTCCCTGAAAGGGACTTTTCTTTCTTTCTTTCTTTTTCTAAATTGTTTAGCTAGATTTATGCATTTAATCTACAAGGAAAAAAGCTAAGTTCAAGATTTAGTCTAGTTATCTAAAAAGGTGCTTAATTGTTATGAAAATAATATCAACATGTAAACATCTTCCTAAAAATAAGCTTCATTTTCTTTATGCAAGATATTTGTTTGTTTTTAATCACTGATTCAAGATATAATATCTGAAAACAAGCCTAAATATCGTATGCAAGTTTAGTTCTCAAATTATTAGATCTTGTTTAATGGATGTTTAGATATTTAACTGAAAAACAAATATAAAACATTTAATATTTTTGCACTGAACTGGCTATTGATTAGATAAATTTAATCAGTACAGATTTAATTAAATAATTTAACCATAACTTTTATTGCATTACTGATCCACTTTTATAATTATTTATTATATGAATATTCTCTAAATTTGCTCAGGTAACAAACTATTATGTTCTAAAGGAAGTTGTACATGGTTTATGATAGTCAGGGGACTATCAAAATTTGATTATATTGCGTTGGCTTTGTCTTTGTTGTGTGCAAACCACCCATCTGTTTAAATATGCTGCAAACTATGTGGCTAGTGAAGAATAGTGTCTCTGTTTCAAAACCATGGCTTCTCACGTTGAAGTACCAACCACATCCTTTCTATCCTCACGTCCACATCCCGGTTACACTGATTTAAGAAACTTGCCATTGCTTGGTTACTATCATCCATTTGTGGTGTTGTTTTTAACAAATTAAGCAGGAAGCTTCCATCAATCACGTGGGGCCATCGCACCTGACAATAGCTCTTACATGGTATTATGGTAATTTAATGACATTTTTCAGTCAGTGTGACATGCATTCATCCTCACATTGTGGTTTATTTTATGTATTTTTATTAATTGTATTTATCCTTTATTTAACCAGGAAGTTATCATAATCTCTTCTTCCAGGGAGACCTGGCCAAGACGGCAGCACACAAAGTTAAAAAAAAAATTAAATCTTCTCACATCAAATTAATTTCACTAAAGTCAATTTATTTATAAGTAGCCAAGCAAAATGTCAGATCATGAACAGCGAGCTGGTCATTATCGACAAATAATGCTCACACATACAGTATACACACCCTATATATATATATATATATATCTACATACGCCCTAGAGGATCATTTTCTGTTTGCATATCCCAAATTTATGAGCTCCCTTATCAACATCTTTTTATGTTTGCCTGGTACCTTGCAGCATAGATGTTGATATGGTGTGATAATACGGATGACTCGATCTCTCTTGTTTGATTGGATGGTTGGGTTTTATTAGGTGGTTGTATTACTGTCTCTAGTGCGAGCAGATTGCGCTGACCCTTAAGTCACCAATCACAAACCCTCAGCCCTGTGCAAAGGTTCATATTTCCTAACTAAATCCTAGAAGTTACGTTGTTAGTGCAATAATGCCTTAACGCTTCACTCTGCTGTTACAGTTACAATGACATATCACAAATTATCTGCCCTCCAGAATTACTAGATGCCGTGTGTCAGAGCAAACAGGAAAGTGTGCAGAGTTTTTATTTAACCACCCTGTGTTTGATCAGGCCTGACAGTGCTGTGTACAGTGCATGTCTCATCTCCACCTCCTTCCCTATAACCTTGATTAATATTCTTCCTGTAAACTGTCCATCATAACCAATCCAACCTTCTTTTTCAGACCAAAGCATATAATGTACAATGCCGTATAGAAAAAATAGCATGTTGTCAAGTCATTCAAACATAAAGCCACTATATAAAATGGATGTTTTTAGTCACCATTGAGATTCATTCAAAATGAATAACAGCAAGCCAGCTTAAACACCAAACAGATTTAGTTATTTTGTTAATTAATAATAGTGATTCATGCTAAATATTTAGGCATAACCACTGAACAATGTTCAAATAAAAAGCACTGCTATATTATGTACTAAATTTACAACTGGGTTTTCCTTTTTTCTTTTACAGTTTACTTGGCTAATGAATCACTTTAACGAGCATCTTCAATGTTAAAGGTCTTTTTCTGCAATGGAAAGAGCGAGAGTAAGAGGAGCTCACCTGCCACCGGTGGAATCGAGAAGGAAGCAGCCAGGTAAAGGTTCTGCTGGTTCACAGACAGTGGTGGAGCAACACTGTGCAACACTCTTTCGCTCTCTCTACTTTACAACCCTTGCACTTTTATCTCTCTCTGTGTTCATTCACTCAGGGCCATATATGGCAAGAGCAGGTGATATGCATACAGGTGTGTCATATCTGTGGTTACAGGCATAAGTTGTTCATCTCGCCCCCCTCCCCAGTAGATGTCTCTGAGCAATAAAGCGAAACAAATATGTTTGTTTACCTCTCCACCCCCAGCCCATCTGGTGCCATGCATACTTGTCCTTTGCATTTTACTATAATGTGTTCAAATGACTGTATACTATACACTGACCACTATAGATACCTCCTTCTGACCACTTAATTTCTTTTCCATTTTTTCATCCCAGAAAAAAATATTTCTCCAACCAAAATAACCCTGATTTGAAGCTTAAATTCAAGTGCAAAAATACGCTCTAATCTGGAAGGGAATGTATTACTGGTTAACTCTTACATACCAGTCAAAAGTCTGGACACACTTGACTGATTTTATATTTCTCATCATTTTAACACCTTTTTGACTTACATTTAGTTTTGTAGGCAAATATAAATTACCTGTATATAAATTTCTGTACAAAATGAAACATTCATTTTAAATGGATGTTTTGGAGCAGATAATGAAGGAATAGCAGCAAGCATACATGTGAAGTTCATGAAAAAGCAAACCAGCATGGTTGGTAGAGAATCTAGACAAAGTGTAGTAACTTAGACTTGTAAGATACATTAAAAGACTGTATAGACTGCAATTATGGCTGCATAATTCCATTTGTGTTTTTATAGTTTTTTATATTTTTTACTTTAATAATAATATATGAAAAATCTTAATATAAAATAATGAGTAGGTGCGTCCAAACTTTCGACTGGTAGTGTATCTTACTACAAGTCCAAAGTCCATGCATAATTACCGGATAAACCAGGTATGCCATGACAAGTGGATAAAAGGTTTAAAGGGTCATATGATGTTGCTAAAAATAACTCATTGGTAAAACTCAAATAATTCATTGGTGTAATGAAATGGGTTTATGCTGTTTAAGGTTCAAAAAACATTATTTTCCACATACTGTACATTATTGTTTCTCCTCTATGCCCCGCCTTTCTGAAACGAGTCGATTTTTACAAAGCTCATCGGTCTGAAAAGATGTAGTTTCGCTTTCACAATGAAGCACACAGCGTCACACACGGTGCGCTAGAGTGAGCGGAGGCCGGCTTGAGTGAGTGGAGGCCGGCGGGCTTGAGAACGGCGCAGCCGGCGGATTCAACAAAGGAGCGTCCGGCGGGCTTGCAGCAACCACATGTGACGACCCCGCTATGCACGAACAGCTTGTAACACTCCAAAGAGAAAGGAACATTTGAAATTGCATCATATGACCCCTTTAAATATAAATAGGTGCAGGTTATGTCGAATGTTTTCTGTTGTGAGCTAGTTAAAGCCTCCCTTGGTGGACCTCAGCATATTCCCTCTATGCATTCATATAGTCCATAGCATCAATGCAGACCATCTTTTCTGAGGCACCATTGAGCTGGTCGGATCTTTTGAAAGTTAAATAGACCATCAAAAGTGGGTTGGTGATTATTAGTGAGATGTACAGTAGCTCACTGTTAGCCTACTACAGTCACCCCTGTTTGTTGTGCTCTATTTGACCCCTTGCAACCCTGATTAGGATTTTGGTGGAAACCATGATGCCGTTTTGTCAGGATTCTTGTAACATTGACACATTTTAAATGATGTTGCTGTCACTTTTGATCGATTTAATTCATCCTCACTGAAAAAAAAGTATTAATTTATTTAATACTTAATTAAATTAATTTCTTTAAAACAAATCTCACTGAACATATTAGTGGATGTTTTTTTACAACTTTTTTTTAACCCATAAGAGCCCGGACCAATTTCTCCTTATAGGAAAATTATGGGGCATATAAAACAGACCAAATGGACCACTTATAACATGTTTCTGCAGTTGTTTTTGATTTTTTCTCTTCAATGTTTTTCTCTTCAGAGTTAGTTCTTGTATGCAATGCAGTGCAACAAGCACCTGTCATGTGTTATCTCTTCACTGCACAACGGACTAAGTTACTGCAATGCAATATACATGTTATGTGTTATCTCTTCAATGCATAACAGATGAGTTAGTTCATTCATCGCATCACCACATCAGTTATGCGTTATCGCATCTAAAAAAATACAAAAAAGATAAAATAACCTTAAAATAGGACCAACATATGATATAAACATCTTGTTTTAGTAACAGGTATGCAAAATAGTTTCAAAATACATTTAATTATCATTGTAATTAATTTGACATTATTTTTATGTTTACATTTGTTCAAATATGCTTTGATATGAGCAGCAGTAAATATATAACACTAAAATAATTGAATCAGCTAAATTAATTAAGCAGCTCATTAACATTTTTCTTAATGTGACAAATACGTCACATCAAAATTCCACCTACTGTTTTAAGGTTAACAGCCCGATGTGACATATATGTCACCACAATATTTTCGTAACTTGTTTTATATCAATTTGTTCAAGAAATGTATTAAAATCAGGTTAAGTGTAATCTAGGATATGTTATTAAAACATTAGAATTGTTGCATGGGTTGAAACATACCTTTAGTAACAAAAACAAGCGAACTCCGGTCTGACGCATGCGGGTTCTTGCGTTATTTCCTTATCACTTCTCGCGTGTTTTGTTGTGAAACGTAGTTTGCGGACCAGACAGAGCTGTCTGCGATTCTTCCTATTGTGAAGTCATGCAATGTGAAACCCCCCGTCGCCAATCCATCGTGCAATGTGAACACAGCAGCAACTGAATGCTACCCCAGATAGTCACGCAGTGTGTAAACAACGGCGATCCGACGAGTTTAAAAATCGTGCAGTGTGAACTCGGCATTATTCTCACTACAAAAAAGATAAAATAACCTTAAAATAGGACCAACATATGATATAAACATCTTGTTTTAGTTACAGGTATGCAAAATAGTTTCAAAATACATTTCATTATCAATGTAATTAATTTGACATTATTTTTATGTTTACATTTGTTCAAATATGCTTTGATATGAGCAGCAGCAACTATATAACACTAAAATAATTGAATCAGCTAAATTAATTAAGCAGCTCATTAACATTTTTCTTAATGTGACAAATACGTCACATCAAAATTCCACCTACTGTTTTAAGGTTAACAGCCCGATGTGACATATATGTCACCACAATATTTTCGTAACTTGTTTTATATCAATTTGTTCAAGAAATGTATTAAAATCAGGTTAAGTGTAATCTAGGATATGTTATTAAAACATTAGAATTGTTGCATGGGTTGAAACATACCTTTAGTAACAAAAACAAGCGCTTTTAAAAATTGCTGACACTGCAACGTGCTAATTAGACAGGCCACCATTTTGGAAATGTTGCCATGGCAACACAAATTCACATATTGTCACATGACTGAACCTGTGTGTTCCTTACATGTCCCTTAGGGACTTCCTGAGTTGAAAGTGAGGGATAATGCTTTAAAAAGACCTTTTCAGATAATCACCAGTGTTTGTGACACCTGCGTCACCGCGGGTTCTTATGGGTTAATTTTTTTTTTGATGCTCACAACTGCCTATAATATCCAACTATTCTGTGCAAGAAAGAATAAAAATGGTGTTAGAAGGACTATATGTCATTGTTTATTATGTATGATTCCATTTCTGCCAAAAAACTAAGCATTGTAGTCATTAAATCTGTTGGTTTTGTCCAAAAATTGTTTATTTTTTTATTTTTAGATCATGAGACATGACATTATGGGACCTTGGAAGCCAATCTGAAGCCATGGAATGCACCTTTAAAGAAAAACATACTCAAAATGTACTCAAGTACTCAAAAAGACTTTCACAATATAAAAATGTTACAATATCAAAAATATAAAATCCATGTATTCAATAATTTGCATTTATTTACCTAGCTTTTATTTCAACTTTCTAAATGATAGAAATCAAAATATTATCTTATTTATTATTTACAGTTTTAAAATGGCCTTGTGCCATCCGAGAACTAAATGCATAACCCAAATTCATAAAAGCACAAGGCAGTTCCTGAAAAGTACAATTGTAATTCCAACTTTATTTATATTTAAGACATTTACAGAGCCCTCAAACACCATGTTGGATGTTATGAAATAATCTTAATAATGTGGAAAGCCAATGAAGAATTTGTGAAATGCAGTACAGGGGCATTACATAGTGATCTCAGTTTTCAGGTATTTGCATCTGGACACATTGAAACATCCAATATCAGTGTATTGTACAGTATTACACAAAACATAAAAAAGCCTTTTGAATGTTAAACTGTTAAATACATTTAATGATGTTAACCATTTAAAATACAATAAAACAAATGAATAAATCTCAAATAATTTGCAAACATTCATGCCTCTCTAAAGTTGCTGAAGATCTCACTGGACATTAAGAAAAGTTAAAGCTATTTTATTTTACTGAATGATCATGCATCAGACCCAAAGATTCATTTATACACATCCACTCTGTACTTCACGCGTTCAGCACCAACAAGTTTTCTCACGAATCTCCAGAAAATGTTGGGTTTTGAACTGTGGTCGTAGCATTCTGGAATAACGGGTTGGTACCCTGTAGAAGGAGAAGAAAACATAATCTGCTTAATAAAAAGCATGAATACTGAACAGCTTTAGGAAGTTTGACTGAATATGAAGGGTAGGGGTTTTATGCATAAAGAAAACAGAACTTACAGATGTTTTTTCATGTTTTCTGTCTTTTTCAAATCTCTTCCATTCTCTAAGGTCACTTGCATACAGAACTGCCTTGACGATGAGGAGAATCAGGAGACCAATCAACGCCACAGCTACTAGAGATCCTCCTACGATGGCTGCTATGTTTGGCCCCTCAGGACATTCTAACACAAGAAACGTAAAGGTAGAAAGCTTTAACTTTTGCTGTGTCAAACATGATGCTTTTTGAAACTGGAACATTTTGGAAAATTCGGACATTATTTACTCACCCTCATGTTGTACATTTAATGAAAATCATCATAAAAAGTCCATATGACTACGTTTGAAGCTTGTTGTCACTATAAACTACTGTGTTATTGTATAGAAAAGACATATAAAGTCAATAAAGATTCTTCAGAAATTCTCCTTTTGTGTTCCACACAAAAAATAACAGCAGGGTTCAGAATGACATGAAGGGTGAACAACAATGACAGAACCCAAGAACCTAGTACATGTTTTAGTATTTGAGATAATGTGTCTGGGTCTACCTCTGTCTTTGAGGACATTGACAAAGTACTTGTCAAATCCAAGCTGTTCCGTCATTGTAAATGACATCCAGCAGCCCTCTTTATCTTTGACTCGACAGTCGCTCTTGATCAATTTTTCAACCATCGTATGTTGCAGATGTTTACAGGCTACAGAGCAGCTCTTCTCAAACGGACCAGTCCCAAACGCCAAACATTCAACACAACTCCTGCAGTAGGTCAAGAATATTTTAGTACATTTTAAATGCATATAAAAATATAAAATCTTTAATTTAACATATATCATTTTATTTTTTATATTACATTTATGTATATTATTTCTATATTACAATAAGTAACTAATATATTTGCATTAAATATAATGAATAAAAATATTTTTTTAGCTGAGAATATGTGAAATGCCTTGCAGAAATGTTTTTAATGGCTCATTGGAAAACTGTCCTTATGAACTGATTCACATGAGTTCTGTAGCTAAATTAGTAGTTGTAGTTAGTAATCCTCTGTTTGGACTTATGAAATTAATGAAAAACATGTATTTGGTTATATTAATAATAGTTAATAATGTAGCAGCTTTGTAGAGCTCAGGGTCACTTGTTCTGAGGTTTACTTACCCTGACTCTTGACACGGAAGTTGGCAAGCAGAACACGTTTTGCAGTAGGGCCCCTTGTATCTTCTCTCACATTCACACTGGTTACATACACATTTCCCACGGTTATGACAAACACTCCCTTCGATCTTGCAATCCTCATCAGATTTTGCACAGTGACAAACTGCGCCCTCGTAGCCTGGATCACACTCACATCTACCACATTTGCACTTGCCATGACCTGTAAAATGAAGCCACGTTGCACTTAAGAACGTATTTTAAAAAATATACTACAAAGCACATGTTAAATATGAGCTTTGCTACACAAATCACCTGCACACTGTTTATTGTCAAATTTTTCACAGTGCTCATCGTCGCATTCACAGAATTCGCCATAGAAATTGCCACCACCCTCTGTAATATGACACTGACACCGTCCGCACACACAATCTCCTTTGCCTTCGCATTCGGTCCCGTTGTCCTTCCGACACGGCGCTTTCAATGACGCCTCATCCTTTTGGCCTAGTTTGCATTCACAGCGCTGTCCTAAGTAACCCGTATCACACCTGTGGACATGGGGAAGTTGCTTATGTCACTACACATATATACATATACTCCTGCAATAGGTCAAGAATATTTGGTAACACTTTACTTGAAGGGGTGTGCATAAGACTGACACGACACCTTCATAATCATGACATGACACATGTCATGAATATGAAGGAGGTTTTATGCATGTTTATGACAACTGTCATTAAGTGTCATTCGCTCAGTTATGTAATTTTTTTATGCAAATATGACATTATTTGACCTAACCCTACCCCTACCCTTACCCCTAACCATAGCCCATAACAAAGACATCTCAAACAATGTCATCTTTGCCTTCAAAATTACATAACTGAGCGAATGACACTTAATGACAGTTGTCATAAACATGCATAAAACCTCCTTCATATTCATGACATGTGTCATGTCATGATTATGAAGGTGTCGTGTCAATCTTATGCACACCCCTTCAAGTAAAGTGTAACCGAATATTTTTATAATTTTTAAACACACACACACAGACACACACACACACAGACACACACACATAGACACACAGACACACACACACACGCGCACGCACACAGAAAACATCTCATTGAATATATATATTTTTATATTAAGATTTAGATTTTATATTATTCTATTGATAATCAATTTTTGATAAATAAATTTTTTGAATGAAAAATACTATTCCTTATTCTTAGTTATGTATTTTTAGGTATGACCCAGGCATGTTGTAAGAGTCACCCAGGGAATCTGGAATTTTAAGTCAGTAAAAAATGATGAAAAAGAAAGCAATTAAGAGTAAATTATATTTTTCTGTTACCTGCAGCCGCCGCAGACAACTTTACCGTTTCCCCCGCAGTGAGGATGAGGTTGATTGGTATCATCACATTGACAATTGCATCGAGTCTGAACGTTCACCTTCACTTTTTCACTAAAGCCCAATGGCCCGATGAGGAAGCTCTGACTGGTAATGCATCTCTCTACTCTTACTGTCACATGAAAAATCACCTGAAAGGATTATGGTAAGAGTAAGGTTATTTACACAGTGTAAAGTTGTATAATATTGCTAAAATGATAAACCAAGATTTGCATCTTCATTTGGACTAATCTTACTCACCTCCTTACCAATGTTCACATTATCACATTTCCCCTTGTCACTGGGTTTTTCTCCACCAATACAGTTTGATGTGTATTTCACAGATATGAAGTCTGGGAGGGCTTCATGAGCCATGATCACTTCAGAGGTCAAGTTCTGTTCAGACCCCATAGGACATTAATAAGGGTGTTAAACAGAAAAGCTCTCACATCGCAATGTTTTACTTTAAAAAGGTTTGTGCAAAGTGGAAGTTCCATGCACTCACGTTGTATGCATCCACAATTAGATTGACGACGTTGCCCGAGTCTTCAGAGAGCACTCCTACTGCAGATTTAGGGATCAGTTTGCTCAGCTCCTGTTAAGGAAACAAGTCAAGTACATCACAGTACTTCCACTATTAAGAATATTAATGTGAATTGTGTGTAAATAAAATCAAGCAAAATGTGAAGTGTTTTAAATAGACCAAATGTAACTACAAAGATAATGACTGTCAAACAGGTTTCCCAAACACTGCTAAAGTGCCACAGAGTCAGTTTACACTAGTTTACACTTCTCAGGGCACTCAATCTATGCTTTTCATTGCTCTTTTACAGATAATATACTTGCTTATTTTAGCATGTTTTACTTACTGTGTACACAGTTTCCATTTTTTTAGTGACTGCAAAAATTGGTTGAATGTTTTGCTCCTCCAGCTTGCGAGCTATTTGTCCAACAGAGGGGTAGTCCTGAAAACACAGATTGTATTATAGTTTTGATATGTTTACATAATATGATATCAAGGTACTAATAGCATCTAAAACATATACGCTTGTACAACTTTAGAGACATAAATGGTAACAAATTCCTTGGGGCTTCAAAATATTGAATTAGTGGAATTCAAAGGTTAATTTTTTTCCCTGCATTTGCAAATTACTTTTAGATTAATAAAACTTCCTAATTTATTATTATAAATTACATAATTTATTCATTTGACTGTGTACTGTATAATGCCTCTAAAACTTACTAATGCAAAACCTTAATGTCTAAGATGCTGTCAATATGTTGATATTTTATGTTTCAGTGTTTATCTAAATGTACAAAAATGTACAATTGAACTCGCCCCAGGCCAGTGTTCTTTTATTATCATTAATATACTATTATAGTTTAATAATGAACTATACTAATAACAAACTATTATAGTTTAATAATATAGTAATTATAATAAACTATTATAGTTTAATAATATAGTAATTCAATATTTTTAATTATATTTTATTGTTATATTTTCTGTTTTCATTTTAATTTTGTTGTGTTTTGTCATTTTTATTCTTTTTTTAATTTGTCTTTATTAAGTTTTAGTTAGTACTTTAAACAAAAAACGAGCAATGTTGCCTAGGCAACTTGCTGGAACAAAATACATTTTTTTTTTCAGTTTAATGTTTATTATATGTAAAGTATACTGAAAATTATTTTTCAGTACTTTTTTTTTTTTTTACTTTGTTAACGATAATAAGCCGGCCTTTGACTTTCTTGGTGTAGTTCAAATGTTTTTAAGATAAATATTATAAACATATGGTATTAATACTATTAAGATAAAGTATTACATCGTACCCATAGGCTGCTCTTGCTGTACTTTCTGTCGACCAGCTGACAGGTTTCTTTGTTTGGTTCCAGAATGGCAGCAAGTTTTCCATCCCCTGCCATGTGGAAGCCGTCATCAGTGGCCAACACCAGCAGTCGAGTGCTGTTTCCCCACCCGATCTCTTTCTGCATGGGTAACACATTTTGCTTTCAATTTATTTACATGATAAAGAACATCATGCATGAATCAGGCTTCATATAATATCTTGCCTGTTTCATGTAACCTGTTAATATGGCAGCCAAATACATTTCTGCCACTTATGCATGTAGTGTGAAGTCTCACCACACAGACCGCGGCTTGCATGATGGCATCCAGGCTTCCTTCTGGGGGGTCCAGGTTTCCAGATATATGCTGCTCGGCTACCATAGTTTTGAATTTGCTTCCATTGGTTGTCAGTGAAAGCACATGCTGAAAGCCAAATGCTGGCTGGCATGGTTCATTTTTATCTGAGCATGGCATTTGGAGCTTCGCTTCATTGGTGTCGGTGTATGGAAGAAGTGTTTTGTCGACAAACGAACCGAAGCCTGCATCAGGAAGGTTGGTTCATTAAGCCACAGCCTTAATCTTTCAACTCTGAAACATGTATAATATTATAATATATATATATTTATGTAAATATATTTAAATACTTTTACCTATCCTGGCATTGCCAGTGATCCTATTGAGTTCTTCGAGTAACTTATTTCCCAGATTTTTCACATTCTCCAAATCATCTTTCATGGAGTATGAGAGATCCATTAGGTAGTAGAGATCTACTGGATAGCCTTCTGCCCTTTTAAAATGTAGTTGAAAAGTGTAGGGCCTCCCTGAGAAAACAATACATTCAGTCACCTCTATTCTCTTCTGATAGTCAGGTTCAAACGTAAATTAAAAAGCAAAGTTGTTTTGGTTAAGCTATACAGTAGATTTGTAAGAATGTATGTAACACACCTGGTCTAAGATCCAGTTGTATTTCTTGTGGTTGGATCTGCACTGGATTTTTACCAGCAATCAGGGGCTTGTTTGAAATTCTGTTAAAATCGTTCTTGGGATTTATTATGCCAGTGGGTGAACATCCTCTTTCTTCAAGCAAAGCAACTGTGTCACAACGTGCTGCTTCCTGCTCCCCAGTCTTGGTGAAATTCTGTGGTTTAAATAGGACAGACAGCATTATACGAAGGAGATTTTTCTTTACTTGAAAAAGCTGTTGACTATTGAACAAACCGACATTGGATATTCCAATTTGACTTTGAAATGTTAGAAATCAAATAGTTGACAATGAATAGTAAAACTTGCAAGCTCCAGTTAGATTGTCTGGCTGCAATGACATTTTGAGGCTTTTTTGTTGTTGTTGCAATCAATAAAATTGCATTTAAAAGGTACTTCTTGATAATTCGAATGCTTGTGAACAAGTAGTGTTCACTGGAGTTTGAGGCACTTAGTAGCAAGTGAGATATTCATGAGCATAACTTTGTTTTTTTTATCTATGAAATTATCATCAGTTGTTACTAGTGAATTGTTGTGCCATATTTATAATATTTCTGTGCTAGTGTGGTATTTTCATAGTGTGGATGATTTAAATATAATTTAAATTCTTAGTCAGAATAAGCTAGAAAGTGGACCAGATTTTATGCTGCATGTCAAATTCTGGCAATGTGAGGGATTGAAATATTATATACTTCATATTATATTAGCATGGACTGAGTTCAGACAGTCAGATATTTTACTAAAGGCCAATTAAATGGTGTTTCACAGGTTCCCTGAAAATCTATTTCACCAATGTTAACAAAAGAGCCATTAAGCAGCGCTTACCAAGTCTTTACACCAGGCACAGCCGGGCCCAGACTTGATGCAGTCTCCACATGTGTTTACTGAAGCTTTTAAACATGGTTCCTGAGTGTAGACTGCAACAAAAAGTTTACACTTCAGTTATGCCTTGAAACAGCCTATTTTGTTTGCATGATTCAGCATCCTGGATATTTGCTCTGTTATTATTAATGTAGTTAAAATACATAAATACAAAATGCATTTATTTGTGAGACACATGCTTTGTTCCAAAACCTAGTGTGTGTGTGTGTGTGTGTATATATGTTTTAGTTAGAACCAGGTTTTGGAACAGAGCCAAAATTCTCCAAACAAGGACTAGCTGTGTCCAAATCCAAAAAAAAA